CTCTCTCTCTCTCTCTCTCTCTCTCTCTCTCTCTCTCTCTCTCTCTCAGTCACTCAATCATGCTTTCCGCATTTCAAATACAGACACTTTCACATATATTTCAAAAAATACGTGCAATTTCGAGTATGTTCCTGTGTATATCTATGTAAGTTATTTCCCATGTGTACGAACTATGAGTATGAGTTGAACATTCGATACGGTACATAGTTTGGAATCGCTTTAAAATAGCAGTCCATAAATCTTTTTCATTCCGATTGTTCGGAATGAGTTTGAAATTGAGAAAAATGTGCTTTTGGTTGGGCTGTCGAAATGTGGAAAAAAAAATTTCGTATTCACATACAAGGCGCGCACACATACACATAAAATTACCGAACACAAAATCCATTCCAATGAACTCTGTACACTGACCGGTCGTTGTAACATTTGATCAAAAATCGGCTTTTGGTCAATCGGTATGCCATTTGAAATCACTTCACTTCACTCTACACCACATACACGCTCTCTCTCTCTCTCCCTTGACGGCAAACCGCACACCAAATTGTATGGATGGGGCAAATTTTGTCATTTGTTATAAACAGGAGACTCGTTTGACGAAAGACTTCAAGCTGCTTACACACTGTTGAAGAGCGTGCCGTTGATTGACGCGCATAACGATTTGCCTTACAATATTCGAAAATTCGTGCACAATCAATTGGCCGAATTTAATTTTGATGCCGATTTGAAGAATGTACCGCCTTGGTCGAATTCAAACTGGAGTCACACCGATTTGCAACGAATGAAAAAAGGTCAAGTTGCAGCCCAGGTAAATACATACAGTTTTACGATTTACATGTCTACAGTTAGCTTTTCCACTCATTTCTTGCTGTTTTATTGTCGTTTTTATTGTTTGCGAGAACTCACTCGGTGCATTCCGTTTGGCAAATGCGATTACGAAATTACATTTAAAAATTAAACTCGTTAAATTGTTTGTACCAACATTGTGCTATATTTCAAGTTCTGGGCGGCTTATGTACCATGCGAAGCGCAATACAAAGATGCAGTTCAGCTTACATTGGAGCAAATCGACGTAATCATACGACTCACGGATAAATATTCGAAGGACTTGATTCTATGCACTTCAGCGGAAGGTAATTTAAATAAATTGCCGGTTGTTAGTTTGCTTGTGTGCTAGTGTGTTCGGCATAGGTGCATGTGGTGGTGATGGAGTATGAGATTTTTGCCATTAGCAACATGGTGCTCGGTATATATATATATATATATGTATATGTTCTAAGCCATATATAACACGTAGCATTCGTATATTTTACATTTGTTGAAATTGGAGTGAGAAGGAGATTGTCATTGCCACAGCCACTGTCGCACCATCACCGCCGCTCTACTATCGAATGGCGAAAGATTGAATGTCGAACACATGTTTAAACGTTTGATGGCTTAATTAATGGCTTCCGGTTTTTGGTTCGATTTCATTTAACAGATATCCGGAATGCGTACAAAGACAATAAAATATGTTCATTAATTGGAGTTGAGGGTGGTCATAGTATTAGTGGATCCCTGGCAGTTTTGCGAATGTTCTACATGCTTGGCGTACGTTATTTGACGTTGACTTCAACATGTCACACGCCGTGGGCTGATTCTAGTTTTGCCGATGCACCAAAATTTGATGTCAAACACAATGGCTTAACGGACTTTGGAAAAGTAAGAGTCGGTTTAAGATGTAGTTTCTGTTTCTATTTGTTTTATTTTGTGTCGGTGTCTGTCTCTCTCTCTTGTCGTTCGCTGACAGCAAATTGTACCGTTGAAATGTTTGCAAAATGTTTGATATTCGTGTTATTTTTCTCTCCCCTGCTCTCTCCCCCCGCCTTCTTCTTCATTCGGAATGCAGCGTGTTATAAAAGAGATGAATCGCCTCGGAATGATAGTGGATCTATCGCATGTATCCATGGCTACGATGCGGGACGCCATCACTGTTTCAGAAGCACCTGTGATATTTTCTCATTCATCTGCTTATGAATTGTGCAATTCAAGCCGGAATGTTCAGGACTCGGTGCTCAAGTCACTGGTTAAAAATCGCGGAATAATTATGCTCAACTTTTATTCAGTGTTTTTGAGTTGCGGTCAAAATGCAACCATTTATAATGCCGTAGGTAGGTAGTAATGACAGCAGTATCACTGGTGCGAAAAATACCAGCTATTCAAATTGCATTCAAAGCAAAATGTTGCTGTGCTGTTTTTTTTTCTTTCTGTGTCGTGCTGCTATTGCACTGTCGCTGTTGAAACCATTAATTGAGTTTGTATGTATGTGTCTTTTGTTCTTTTCAAAATGTCGATCCCATTTGCACACGTTCCGTGTAGCTCATCTGAATCACATTAAACGAGTTATTGGAGCAGACCATATTGGCATCGGAGCAGGATATGACGGTATAAACTAGTAAGTATACATTGAATTATTAATCTGCTTTTGAACACTAGAAAAGTGACACAACAGTAGCAACGGCAGACGAAGACTGAAAAAATATTGCGCTCTACTCAAAATGTAATGCGCTTTGCCATGCATCTTGAGATAAGAAAATGTCAGCGATTTTTTTTCTCTCTCTCTGTCTCTCTGCTTTGCTACTCGATTGATGAATGGGGTAAATCGACATTTGATGCATCGAATTTTGCCTCATGGGCAACCTTCAAAGAAAATTCGTCGCACATTTACAATTCATTTTATGTTTGAACACAAAAACCCGTCCTTTTTTGAATAGCACACCGAGTAACTTGGAAGATGTTTCAAAGTACCCGATTTTATTTGCCGAATTGATTGGTTTCGGTTGGACGGTTGAAGAGTTGACAAAACTAGCCGGTGGCAATTTATTGCGCGTTATGAAAGAAGTCGAATCAATTCGTGATCGAATGCACAAGGAGAAGATACCACCAAACGAAGACATTTATGCGAATCGTCTTGAGAATCCACACAAGTGTCAAAGTAACTAAACGAAAAATGATTGAAGTTTTACGCGAATGTCTCAACTCAAAAACTGAATAGATTTTCACATGCATTAAGTTTAATCTATAGAGTTAATATCATGACTGTTAGTAAAAAAAAATGGCCATTTAAGCGGCGCCACAGGCCACACCTGATCAATTTGTTTCCCTTGACTATATAATCCATTTGGATGATCGAACGATCGGATGAAATTAGTAGTAAAATCTTAAGACATAATAAGCCTATGAGAATGATATGTAAATTGCCTTAACGAGAGAAAAAAGAAATTACCATGCACAAGTTGTTAAAACAATTATTGCCAAAAGGAACAGCACATTTTTGGAAGCATTTTCAACGAAAAACCCCGTTGAACATTTCAATATGAACATGTAAACTCATTTCCCTGGGAAATAGACAACCGTAGGAACATTGCCATTCCTCATTTATTATAGATATTACATGCATACATATATATTTTATATTTCAAATCAGGCAGTTGTTGTGACGTTTCTGTCAATGATGCTGGCTTTTATTTGATTTTCTACATCAATTTGCTTTTAAAAGCCAATGTATTAGATATCTCCTAGTAAGTCCCAAAGTGAAAATTAGGTAAAAATTATTTCTCAAAGAAATATATAGAATATTTAAAAAAAATAAAGGAAACGAAAAAACATCATTTGCGCAATTATCGCATTTAATCAACGGAGCAATGGAAGAACAGCACTTAGCATGAAATTGGGCTAACTTCAAAGAAGTTACAACAAGCAACACATGAGCTCCTAAATTGATTTCAAATTACGCATCATTAAATTTAAATTCAACATTTTCGTTGTTTGAAGTCTTGAACTCGGCGCTCATACCTTTGTGACGTCCTTCCAATCGATAGCAGTAGAAAATTCATTACTGACAATTTCACCAACTGGAAAATGTAACAAGAGAGACCTTGAATCGCAGAGAAATGTTATCGTTTTCCAAATTCACAATATCTATGTGAAAAAAAAAATTCGAAGTGATCAAAATGTCAAGATAAAATTACGAATCAACGATTCGATGCTATGGCAAGAGTTGTAATATCATTATCAATTCACTTCACACTCATTAACTTTTTGCCACTCTGTGAATAATGAACATAAATGCCATTTCTCGATAAAACATTTCATTTTCTGAAATATTCATCACTTTTTTGGTGCTGCTGCTGCTGCTGTTGTTGTAAAAGCAAAATATTCACCTTCGACCATAGCAGAACATCGATCTCTCTACTCCTTTTTTCCCTGCTATTGCTCAAACGTTTCATATTCTTATTGGTGTCGAGCAATAAAATCGACTCGGAAAGGAAGTTGATATCCATTATTATCGCAAAAAAAAAATGTAATCATGAAATGAGTTCCTGACAAATCCACTCATCGAGAGCGCAAATGAATAAATGATATCAAAGCGAGAACCGGGAGAACACATCAACAGATCAAACGATGTGAGTGTGTGTGTGTTGCTGATGATATTTTCATTATACATTTTTTATGATACAAAATAAAAATGAAAGCAAAAAAAAAAACGAATAATAACGATACGTATTGAATTCAAACAACATATTGCTGTTTGTTGCTGCTGCTGCTGCTGCTGTTTTTTCATCTCTGGTGCAAAATTTATATTAAATTGCTTTCCCATGCGCGATATATAGCAGTTCTCTGATGTCTTCGAAGCTTTGAATGAGAGCTATACCCCAGATATATAGATTCTATACTATAAATAACTGATAATGCATTCAATTGTTATTTTGAAACTCAATATGGGATTCGGAAACACCTGAAAAATTAAATTATCATCGAAAAATCATACATGATTCTCTGCATGTAGAGAGAAATAAGTAAAAAACGGGAGAATAAATGAGTCACTTTTCTCATTGCAATTGAGTGAGAGGGAGAGAGAGAGAGAGAGAGGAGTTAAATAAATAATAATCGTAGATTAAAACAATTTTTTGTTGGGAAAATTACATGAACACAATGGGACATGTTTTTTTTTGCTAGAATATTTACCGTTTAAGAGAGTAGTGAGAAAATTTCTTGCTTTTTCGCGGAATGACGACACATTTGAGGTTGATATTATAGTAAGAAATTTCATATACAAACGAACACACTCGACACTACAGAGCTAAAATGAATCCTCCTCCTGCTCCGCTCATCTAGTTAATAAACCTTTTATCAATGTAATACAAATCAAATTTAATGTTACATCATTCGACAAGTTCTTTGCTAAGTAGGTATAATTGATGGCGTTCACACTGCCGCCGCAGACGAGGTCGACGACGACGACGACACAATCCTTCATAAGGTGTATGTGTGTGAGTAAGAGTGTTAATTTTATCGATTTTGATTCATTGCTAATGCATAGCTATAGTACAGGCTATGCTATTAATATCACTCATCTCTATGATATGAGTTAAGCAACTGATTGCAGCATAGTAGTCGCGCTGGATTTAAGTTATGGGATTTGCTTGTGCAAAATTTGTATACCGAACAGATTAACGATGATTGTTGACTAAATCGAAATCAATAAGACTGATGATAAATCTCTTCGTTTTCTGCTTTTCCGCGTGCCAGCGGCCACGTCTTGTGCGTTAAAGTAACTTTAGTTGAATTCAGCTACAAAGAATTGATTTGAATTCAGCTACAAAGAATTGACTCTTGTTTTGTTGTTCCAAATGAAAAAACAAATCAAATGTTCAAATTTTCCGATTCAGTTACATCAAACTCGAGATCCAGAGCTTATGAAACACTTTCATTAGGTAAAATCGAAAGAAAATTAGCGAAAAAAAATCAAATGCCATGTTCAGCCACCCTGCAAGGAAATTATCACTTTGAATTCCGGCTTTGAAATTTGTTATAAACTATATTTAGAGTGTATTTTGAAGTTATACCCTCCCCCTCCATTAATCTCTGTTGACATTGGTAAATTAGAAATTGTATGTTCAATTGGATATCCACTTTGTTGAAGCAAAGTGAAAAATGTATGCAGATATTATGCGATGTGTGTGTTCATCATTGATAGACTCTATCAATCATGTAGCGCAATTTGTGTGTCACGTTCAATGAACGTGTGTTGACACATACATACTGTGTAGCACACGGTGTGCTGTGCACACAATGTTAAAGTATATAGAAATTATATTGGCATCGTTGCGCATGAAATCGATTCCAAATTTTGAAAAAAAAATGTAATAAAAAAACCCTTCATTTTAAGGAAAACTCTTCAATTTTGATGCCAAATTTAGTGAAAATTGTATTGAGTGGTAAAATTGTTGTTAGAATCAATTTTTAAGAGACAAGAGAAAAGAAAAAGAAAAAGAAAAACACGGGACGTTGCCGTTTGTTTCATTCTCATTAGAAGAAGTTAGAACTTTTCACACTTGAAACAACCGAAAGTGTTGTGTCCTTGAAACTTAAGCTTTAATTCAGAAGACATGTTTTTTGGTATATCACAGAGTAAATCATATACACTAAAACAAATATAAACACACTTCATCGAGCATTGAAATCATGTACAATCAACGATGCTCACAATTAAATGGTAAAATCAAGTCAGTCATTAGTAGAAAGACGGCGTGTTTTTTTTCTATTAAGTTTTCTAATAATAGTGCGATAGAACAAAAAAGAGACAACAAAGTCATTCAGAATAAAATATTTTGATTAAAACACAAATGAGAGAGCTGTTAAAACTAATGCATTTATAACAATTTCTTCCGATATTTCGCAAATCAATCACTATATATTCACAAAACTCTGCATTTCCACCATAAAATAAAATTTAAACGTAGATATGAGAATATACAAATACCAAAACCATATTGGTTTTCAGCTAAAGCATTCAGCGCAGAATAGATTTACAAAGAGTAATGGTCTCAATTAGCATGGCATACACACACACACGAACCGATAATCATTTAGAATAATGAAATACTGACACACACACACAGTTGAACTGACAAATGTAGAGATTAAGATGAACAATTGTAATCATGCTTTCAATCAATCCGTAATTTTTGGACTCAACATATTTCACACACATAAACCCATTAACTCATTTGTATTTGAATGCTTAAGCCATTATTCAGAAGAGAAAAAAGATAAAGCCCATAATCACAATGCATGTTTCAAACCAGAACGGGGAAAAGAAATCACACAATCATGAATAAATTCACAGTAAGAGAGCGACGGAAAAATCATCCATTACCTAACATGCCTTAAAAATCTGATACCATAATTATGAAGCCAAAATATTTCTTCCATTTATGCATACGCACACAATTGCATCAGAATTAGAATCGGATTTTTGATCGCTATACTACATTTCCAAAGGAAACAAATTAAACCAGATAGAAATTAAATGGCAAATGCCTGTTATAACGGCCTCTAGTGACAATTGATCAGACAAGAAAAAAATACACACAATCACGACACACAACAGCACTCACACAATTTACACATTTGCTGTCAAAGTAAAGACAACGAAATACCAGCACCATTTAAAATGCAGCAGTTCAAATTGAACTATGAATCTACGTAGAATTATCGTAATCACCACCACCCATCCCCCTACTCCCTCACCGAAATCAACCAACTTAAAGATAAACTATATTTTCCATAAACATCCGGACGTTGAACAAAACAAATGAACTTCTCAATAAATTCGTTAAATTTGCATTTAGATCATAAGATGACGATTTTTATTTTTTGTTACAGAAAACAAAACCAAAAAAAAGGAATGTTTTAGCAAAACGCAAACATTAGTTGTGTAAACATTTACTTGTGTTATTGGTCCTTGATTAGAACGAAAATAAACGGTTATTATTGGAACAAAATGTTTGCATTTTAATTAACAGGCAGAACATATCAAGGTAAATGTGGGCCAGTGAGCTATTCCGGGAACATTTTTGGTAGGTAGTGTTTGCAGAGGACAAGAAAGAGTGTAAGAGTGAGAGAGAGCAACAGATGGAGCAAGAAAAAGATGGAGCTAGAGATCATGAGGAAGAGAAAGAGAAAGACAAAGAAAGAAACAAAACAAAACAATGGCTCATTCTAGTTAACAGAAATATTCCTTTATTTATGCATGTGTGACCTTGGTCATAAAATCATTTTTCTTTCGAACATTTTCCTGTTTTTGATTAATTTTTGTGTATATTTTTGCGTTTCTATTCAACAAATTTTCATTTTAAATGATTTGAAGTGGATTTGCCACGTGTATGTGTGTCTTTAATTGCGGAGGATGGAAATAGACACAAAATTCATGGATTATAATTCAATTGAACACTGTGTGTTTGTTTATTTGGCTACTATCACAACAACTAGCCAAATTATGGAGTAATTTCACGTCGGAAAATAAATAATTTCTGGTCATTTTCGTTTTATTTTTCATTGCTATGCAACAAAGTAATAATTAAATTAATTTGTTCGAAATTAAATTTCATTCAACAATTCATACGATCAATTTTTTTTTTCGGTAATGATCTACAATCAAATTAAATGCATTGCATTAAATGACAAAAAGGAATTAATTTCAATACAATTTTGGTGGAGAATTTTTGTTTCTTTTATCTCAAATCAAAAGGCATTTATGAGAACGTTCTACACACTTACTGCTTGTATGTGTGTGTGTGTGTGTATGCAATTGGTTAAACAGATAATATATTCATATTAAACAAAATCGGAAATACTGAATTTCAAGTCAATTTAGAATCGTCCATATCATATGATTTTCTTCTAATAAATTTTGTAGTGCATTTAACGAGTCGAATTGTCTTTATTTAAACTAAATTTCTTCGCGTTCGGTGAGTTTGACTGGTTTCAGTTCGCGTGTTTTCATTGGTGTTGGTTGAGGCCATTTCCATGTGATTGGCATCGAACTCTCATAGTTGAAGTTGTACAGTTGATCTTCAAGCCATTTTCGCTTGTCGTCGGGCTCAGGATACGTTGATGCTAGGCCTGCGAGTTAAAATTGGATAAAATTCAATTAGTTTGTCATGTTTCTCTTAACTGTATTCAATACCATTCCAGTTGGTTACAAAATGACGGGCGAACAACAATAAGAAAATTTCAATTGAACAAAATTGGGCTGCTCAATTTGAACAGAAAAAGTTAAATGAACGCTTAGGAGAGAAAAAAAAACATTTTGGTCCTCAAAAGTTTAAATGGTTCATTATCCCAATATATCTTAATGTTGTCTTTTTGTTTTTGTCGGCCGGCAAATGTAAACTTTTGTGTTAAAATGATGTGGTCACCAAGGGAGAATTGGAAGGAACAAACGAAGGACCTCTTTTCAAATTAATTTTCAGCTTCTTTTTTTACGCAATAAAAACAACAACGAAAAAAGTTTGTGTTTTTTTCTTCGTTGTTTTGATTATTATTACACATCTTTGGATTGCACATCACATTAAAGGGACCATCACCACCGCGCACATGAACAAACACACCATTGTACAATAATCACAGCAACTGTCATTACCGAAACAATGCAAAAGTAACGACCAGCTGTCATGACAATGCTGTACGAGATGTAGCCTGTCCAAGTATTCAGATTGTGTGTTTATTTTTTGAACAATAATTCTATGTTGCCCCAGGGCAACCACTCAATTTGTTAATAGACCATTTCACAAATGATAAACAGAAAATGTGGTTAAATTTTGAAAAATAAAGCCAAAAAAAAACGGAACATTTTTATAATATGATCTATGTTAACCACACCAGATAAAACCATTACCAATACCAACACCAATGGGAAATCAAACAATGTGACGCTTTAGAATTTTTTGTTATTTACATGCCCATTTGCACAAATAAAGAAATTAGCATTTTACTCTCTTCCATAAGAATAGAAAAATGACGCGACGAAGCGTAATGAACATGATGCGCGTATGTATTACCTTTGGCAGCGATACCCTTTCTTTCATAATATTTACGCATCTCTGCACCTGTATACAATATGTTGTCTGCACGGTACAAAGAAGAATTGAAATCGGTTTTATTGAATATGGTTTGTTGTTGTTGTTGCTTACTAACACATCGGTCAATAAGTCCCGAGCCTAACCACCAAGTGGCAACACTAATGTCAAACCCATATCATTTTCGAAAACTACAACCTTTTTTAGGAATCCAGTCAAAATTTGAGCCAAATCCGACCATCAGTTTGCTAGTTACAGCTATACGAGAGAAAGACTCCCGAAAATGCTTCAATTTTGCCGTTAAAACGGTATAACTTTCTTCTGATGCATTGTATTCAAGTATATTCATGTGGAGAGTTCAGAGAATGACCAGACCTAAAAAATACAATGGTTAGTGAAGCAGTTTGAAACCAATTTCGTTCAATTATATCACCATATAAACAGTTCTTTGACCTGGATGAAACTCGCATTTGAACAACATAGTTTTCTTCGCCAAATTTGCTATGTTTTATCAAGATTTGACATTCGGATAGGTCTAAAATGATGCATAAGTGACTTTTCATGTTGTTTTATATCTTTCCCACTGGTTCGCGAATATTTTTCTATACCTAAATCCACTAATAATGCCCGAACTCATATTTTGCGACCTTGGTCGCTACAAACCGTTTTTGGCGATTTCTACCCGCAATTTATAGATCGAATCTATTCAAATGAACTCAAAATACATTAATTCTAATATATAAAGGCAAAACCCTATTCAAATTTTACTTATACAGCTCCAAACGGGCTTCGAATCCCCAAAAAACTGTTCTATCTACTCCATATCCAAAAACGCGGCAAGGCTTTTTCGATTGAGTATTTCATATGCATATATCCATGCAAAGTTGTAACTATAGCTTGAGTTAGTTGCCCTATGGCCTTAGCAAATCTATGAACTATCACATTTGAGAATTCCGATATCACTTAACGGATTTTGGCAATGATTTCTTCCAAAACCACATATTTTGAACAATTTGGAGGCTTATCGACAAAATCGCTCTTATGGCTATGCATAAATTCAATTCTTCCATATCTAATGATTGATTTCGAAAGCCTAAGGATGCCATAAACTAATCATAGTATGGGTTTGGTACTCCTGCTCGTTTTTCTTCTGGAATACATGTGTCAAATCGAGAGGAGAAATGCAGTTTTTCCATGATTTTGGAAAATTGGAAAATTGCTTCATTTAAAGTGCTGTAATTAGCGAACTGATGGTCGGATTTGGCTCAAATTTTGACTGGATTCCTAAAAAAGGTTGTAGTTTTCGAAAATGATATGGGTTTGACATTAGTGTTGCCACTTGGTGGTTAGGCTCGGGACTTATTGACCGATGTGTTATTCAAGCCACTTTGAACTGTGGTGAATTCTATTCTCTATTCGGTTTGTTTATGTTTTGTTTGTGTTTCATTGTCGCCAATTCATTGGGTTGTATGTGTTGGACTCCAATGTTTTTGGAGAGTATGCAGTAAATTTCGAATCATTTTGTTTCTCTGATTTGTTCAGTGATTGTTCCATTTACTAATATGTGTAACCGCTTAGTTAAGTGCAAACTAAAACTCTGTGTCATTTTGAGTGTTTATGTATAAGAAAGTGCACTACACAAAACTGAAAATTCCACCGTCAGCACAAGCACGAGTAAATCAATCGCGTTCACATAAACAGTTCTGGTGCAATGTGTTCAATTTATTTACTAGCACTTTCAAGCGAAAGAAAATCCAGTATTCCAACATAAAACATGTATACGTTTACTCAATTTGTAATTTTTCATAAGCGAGTTGATTTCGACGAATACCATATAGTAGCATATTGAATCAATATCAATATTGGATGGGATTGTTTTCTATCGAAAATTCTACTCAAATCAAAAGAAATTGAACTAAAATTGAAAAGAAAATTGTATTTGAATTGAACCCTCCTGGCAATTACCATACCTTTGCAATAAGCGTATTTTGTTATGCCAATGGCAATTTTCAATGACACCTCACGAATTGTATCCAATGGTGGATACAACGATCCAACTTCCAAATCTTCATCTCGAACACTTGCGGCCAATTCACGGGCTGCAATCAAAAACACATCATCTGGAATATGATGCATCAATGTGGCAATAACACCAAGGGCAACACCTGTCAAATGATAAATAAATGGGTTAATTTTGGCAAATATGCATTTGAAATTCGTTGAAATTACCTGGGAAAATATAGGCATTATTGCCTTGACCCGGTTTGAATGTTTTGCCATTGTACGTGACATTTGGAAATGGTGATCCAGAACAGAAAATCACTCGACCCTAAATAAAAAATTTGACTTTAAATCAACCTTCTTCACTAATTTAGAATTTCAATGAAAATTCATGTTTTCAACTGAAAATTTAATGATTATTCAAAACATGAACTCATACTTCAGTGTTCTGGAAGGCTTCTTCGGCGGTACATTCCGCACGACTCGTTGGGTTCGAAAGAGCAAACACGATTGGTCTCTCATTGAATTTGGCCATGTCTTGGAGGATTTGCGGTGTGAACAATCCTGGCGTGGCAGATGCACCGATCAATATCTGGTGAGAGACAATTGATAAGAAAAAATTAGTTGAATGAATCTCTTGTCTTACAGAGACAAGTGGGTGGTATTACCGTTGGTTTCACTTCTTTGACAATTTCGGCCAAGTCTTTCATTGGTTGGCAGCCCTTGGCATAATGCTGTTTATGACCTTCCAAACTTCCATCTTTACGTGTGGTGGTCAACAAACCATCGATGTCACACATCCAAATTTTACCTCTAGCATCCTATTTAAATGACATTGAAATCACGTTTGAGTATTTTCGATCAAATGCGAAAAACCGTAGTTGCGATCTTACTTCTGTCGAAATTCCATCGGCTTCCATAGCTTTACAGCAGAGATCAGCAATACCAATGGCAGCTTCGCCAGCACCAACGAACATAATCGTGGCATCAGCAAACGTTTTACCGGTCAATCTCGACGATGCATACAAGCCACCAACTGCAACGGCAGCTGTACCTTGAATGTCATCGTTGAATGTGCAGTAATTGTCACGGTATTTGTCCAAAAATCGGAAAGCGTTGTGATTTCCGAAATCTTCGAATTGAATGAGTGTGTTTTGTCCGTATTTCTTAACAACGGCAGCCATGAATTCGTCGATGAATTCGTCATACTCAGAGCCAACGACGCGCTTTTGTCTCAGACCAATGTACAGTGGATCCTCGAGCAAATCCTTGTTATTTGTGCCAACATCGATCAAAATTGGCAGACATTGATGTGGCTTAATGCCGGCAAGTGCCGTGTATAAGGCCAATTTTCCAACTGGAATGCCCATACCTTAATGAACAAAAGTAAATATGAGTTTCAATTGTCTTAATTTAGCTGATTTCATGTAAAAGTACCGCAAGCGCCCAAATCTCCCAAGCCCAAAATTCGTTCGCCATCTGTCACCACGATGGCACGTACATCTGGCTCTGGCCAATTCCGAATCACGTCATACACATGCCCTTTATCGTTAATCGTGATGAATAATCCTCTTGGTCGGCGATAGATTAAACCGAATTTTTGACAGGCCAATCCCACCGTCGGAGTATAAATAATCGGCATCATTTGAGCGACCTAAAACAAATGCATCAACTTGTTGTTTGCCATATATCCGAATGGATTTTCAATTTAGATGTTAATAACTCACATTTTCAGATACAAGGCGGAAGAACAATCGTTCGTTTCGATCCTGCAAATCGATCAAGTACAAATACTTGTTCAAATCCTCCTGGTATCGATTTATCGATATTTTACACAATTCGATTTGTTCTTCTTGTGACTTAAACCGAGCCGGTTGCAATCCATGGATACCAAGCACTTGACGCTCTTCCAATGTAAATCCCAAACCCTAAAATTTAGATAAATTTTTGTGAAATAAAAGTCTCTTTGATTTTAAATCCAGAATTAGCACTCGAATCAAAAGCAGTAGTACCTTGTTCAGACGTGGATCCCGTAGATGATCGATACCCTGAACAAATCCTGGGCAAATAATATCTCCTGTCACTTCAAACGCATAGGAACGTGAAGGAACTACAAGTTGTTGCGATTTCTCGCTTGAAGCCGCTGGTCCAGCTGCACCCAACACTCTTCCGATTGCGGAAAGGTTTTGCTTTTTCGGCGAACCGCATTTTCTGTTGTGAAAAGAAATACGCAAAAATTAATAAACGGAAAATTTTTTCATTAAAACCCAATTAAATATTCCATAAAAAAACTCATTAAATTTATTGAAACGAAAATTAATTTTCGAACTGAAAATTAATTAGCGCGATTGTTCAGCGCGAAGTTGACATGTTTACGATAAAACATGGTATTTTGAATAAACAAAAATAAAACCCTGAGATATGCTCGGTTAGGAAAATACGTAGAATTAGGTCATAGAGTAGCATGTATTGCAACAAGTTGAAACAGCAATACTAGTGCTAGATGCATTCGTTTGGTATTTTGTGATAAAATCGTAAATATTCATCGGAAGGTCAACAACATAATTTCATGTTATCAGACAAGCAAAGATAGCAAATGTCAGCATTAATTCAGAGAATAGCAAAGAACAACAACAGCATTTTATTGCGTATTTTTTCAGCTTTTGCGTATTTTATTGCGGTGGGCTTGTGTACATGTCACACACATACTCGCTATCTAATCTTATCGTTTGCATAATCAAGCAATATATCGACTAAAAAAACACACTCACTGAGTCAACAAACCAACAATAATCGACTAACTCTTCCTGGTTACCATTGTTTTCCTAATTCTTCTCATTCCTCGTGAATTTATCCATTTGATACAAGACTTGATCGATATTCATTTTCACTGCATTCACGCTTCATTTACACCGCCAGTGAGAGAATGTAAGCAAAACACAAAAATCGGATAAACCGACGACTTTAGTCGCATGAAGGTCAAATATTTTTATCTTTTCGCTGCATGCGCTCAAATGCTCCACACACTGACGACAGACCATGCAAGAAATGCTCCGCTTGAATTGAATATGACATAAAAAATGATGTCGAAATTGGCGTCGTCGTATGGTCAACCTATTAATAATTTATTAATAAATGCTGTCATTGAACGTACGGAATGCGCTTGAGGCGATGAAAGAGAAAATCGAGAAAGTTGAGCGAAAAAACTGAAATGATTGTTCAAGCTAAAAAAAAACTGAAGAAGAAAGTGAGTTTTGGATGAGCATGCGAACAAAAATATCGTGCACCGGTAATGTGTCGCCCTTGAATGATGACATTGCCATTGAAATCGCGTTAGAATTACTGTAAACAAAGTTCTCGTGCGGCCAACAATATTGTTTTGTGTATTCAAACCGACCAAACAAAAGCAAAACCATTGAAACAAATGCACGAAGTCTTGTTGCGCGATGTGATGCACACAGTAATGCTTGTACCAATTAAATTCCACTCGATTTGTTTACATTGATATCAGTGTTCTTCGAAACATGATAGATAAACAGCCAATGCTTGAGATTGTTAACTGATGACGATTGACAAGATTCGTTTACGTAAATATTGTGCTTAAGTTGACAGTTCTCGCAGTTTTTTCATCAATCATCTTGGCTACCATCCCAATCAAAAGATGGTTGTATTCAAAGTGAAACATATTCGGCCAAAGTAGATAGTCTACTAAGTAGTTGAAAATTCAATAACAAAGTCTTTAGTTAACAAGAAATAAGTGATTGATTCACTAGAAAAATTTCACAACTTTACGCTGAACAATTGTTCTGCTCACGAGATTGAAACTTCTGTTCAGCTGCTCACAACATTTGGCATGTGGCTGACAAACAATCGCTTCCTTTGAGCAAATGTTTTTTTTCTGCGATGACATTTGAAGTTTTTTTCATTTCTCATTTAGTTCCCGCTTCTTCCATTGAATTTCCGAGTTACATCGTAAAAACACCACTGTATCATAAATTCGTTTCATGTGATCAATGAAAACTGACACTTAATTAAAAAAAAAATATTCCTCTAATTTGCATTGTACACATTGAAATTCGCCAGATTCGTGGATTACGTAACAGGAAACAGAAGCGAAAATGACTTTCTTCTGTGGGATGGGTTTTGAATTTTTTTTTCTAAATTGTATCGGTACGCGTCTTCCGCGTTCATAACTAATCGATTTCGGGGAGCTGTTCACTATTTTTGACGACGGACGTTACGTAATGTAGCCAGCACTTGCCGATATTAAACGGCGAAAAATCAATGAGCACAAAACACTCGCGTGTCAAATTCGATAGAGAATGAATCCTTCCTTTTTGGCCCCGATAAACACTATTTTTACACTTGACGAATGAAAAAAAAAACGCCACAAACCACACACGCATTTACTTACAAAATATTCCGGGCGAACATGGTTCTGTTTTGGTATTTTATCACTTTCTGTTTCGGGAATTAAATAATCGGTTCACTTTTCTTCAATGCAACAGTGTGTCGATATTACAAATGTCTCGAACGTACTGGATAACTTTTGATTTATTTTTTTTTACTTTTACTTTAATCGTTCCATTCGAAAACGGAATGGAAATTGTTGTTGTTTTCTGCGTTCTACACAATATATAAGAAGGTGGATAGAGAATTAAAAAAAAAGAGAAGATAATAGCGAATACACAACGACACTATGATGATTTGGTTAAACAATTGGTTGGCTATGCTTTTGACTTTTCAAGTGAAATGAGTAAAAATACATTGATGAAAATATTAGGAGCCAAAATAATAGTAATAATAAATTGAAACAACGTGTGTAAGCGTATGGTTACGTCCTGCGCAACTCAAATTCGTGGATATTCACTCTTGTTGGTGATGTTGCTATTCTGTTTGTACTACACAAGTATCGCATGAATACGATATACACAACTACCATTTCAAGCACAGCACACAATTTTTCGGTATACACGATTCAAACCAATACACATTTACATTTGCGCACTTTTGACGTATATTCTTCATTTATTTCCCTGTGTCACTTTTTGCTCGTCTTTTTCGCCGAAAAAAAAAACAGAACTAAACCGAATCAAACACCAAGCAAAATCAGCATATTCGTAAAGGTGCTATATTTTGCTTCGCGTAAGGCCACACAAAAAGAACACCGAAACAGTGAGAGACGAAGAACGAGAGCCACTAGCTCGTGTTTAGAACAGTGTTTGCGCGTCAAATAGCTTGTTAATGAATCTATCAAGACGATATATCCGCAAATTGCATTCGTGTCGTTGGTACAACGCTTTTCTGAATAGTAGAAATATAAGGAGAGAGAGAAAGAGAGAGAGAGAGAGAGAGAGAGAGAACTATTGAGCGGTGCTCTCATATGATCGGATGATGTTTGCTTGTGTTGGTGCCCAGTAAAGACATACTTTATATCTGGGGTTCATTTTCAAGTGGCTATGATATGTATGTACGCGTGTTCGTTCCCGTACGAAGCCTATAAATAGCGAACCGAATGAAAAATGTATGCATGTATTGGGTTGAAATCATATGTTTTATCCACAACAGCGGCAAATTGCGCACGCGGAAATCATCATACTGTATCATTTTTATGATAACACTGCAACAAATTATCGCATTTTCAATGAATTTACTTAGAAAGAAATATTTTTTTTTCTGATGAAATGAATTAAATTATAGGTAGGTATTTTTCGCTTTCTTTCTCTCTCTCACTCTCTTCCGAACTGGCACACATTTTCTGATCCACACCATCACGCAATTTATTTTGTCAAATGATTCATAGTTCTAGCTACGTCCATTTCTTATCTGGTTTTGTGAAGCATAGAAAAACAACGTAATTCACGTGGTTCTATCGCATGACAACCATTCAAGCCTCTTCTCTTCAACGATTCTACGGTAGCCGTAGTAAATGTCGTTTACTAAACGAGTTCTGTTTTGACGTCACAATGTGTTTCACCTTTGCAACAGATCGCAATCAATCCAAACGATTTTGCTTAATTTTGGCTTCGTTGAACCGTTCAACTTGAACGTATATTATCGAAAATATCATACCTTTTTTTTCTCTCTTTGGCGACGCTAATCTTTGTTTGAATTGCTTCTCTATGCTCAACAAAGGCTGTTAATCTACGCTCATTGTACAGTCTGTACACAAGTACCGCACACTCATTCGTTGTTGTAAATGGCAAAAATGTGTTTGCATATCCGTCTGAAAGCGTCTCGAATTTAGTTTAACGCTAGATCGTAGGCGTGAATGAGTCAATTCGGCAATTGTAATTGTAAACAAATGCTTCACCGCAAGACTGCTTTGTTTGTACTGCGTTGACATGTTGATGTGTCAAAAATGAATTCATAGTCTTTGACTTACCTCAGCGACATCTTCACGCGAGAGTTGAAACCGCACTCTATTACCCCAGTTCAAAACAAATATGAAACATTCCTTAAACTCATTCAAACCACAATGAAAAACAATTTTAAACGGACAATTTTAAACAATTTTGTTTTGTTCACTTTTCAAAACTTCTAATTTATTGACAGAAAAAATAATTAAAAATATCAAAACAAGAATGAAAATGGGTTTCATTTGTTCGAATCTTAATATTAAACGCTTCTTCCTCTGCTCAAAATTTGTGCAATGGACCCAATATTCTTTTGAAATCGTTCGTATTTGTCAATGGCACCGGTCACCTGTACAGCAGCACGGCGAACACGTTGCATTGTGGTACCGTCTTCTTCGCCCAATTTTCTTTGTAAACTTATTGGCAATGCGCCGAATGTGAGCGTACATAACGGAGTTACCGAACAGATTGCCGATGTTATAGCTGCAGCGAATGCCATCATACTGAACGAGTTCAATGTGAAATTGATCATTGTTAGAACGGTTTGAAGAATATTCGGTGGGAAGAGGGATTGCAAAAGAATTGCCAAATCATAATTGGTGCGAGCGGCTGCCGTCTTGGTAGTTGGTCGAATTTCTTTGTTTGAATTTGTTTTCTCTGTCTGAGGCGATTGTCCTTGTGGTGATGACGGTGGCGGTGGCATCAATGTCTGAAGAGGGACCAAAACGCCTTCGAATTCAGCATATGGCGACGACACATATGATGGTTGATTTGTCTGCGGCGTAAACATTTGTGTGTTTGGTTGTTGTACTGTTGCCATATATTGCATATTCGGTTGACCTGCATTCGACGGTAGCTGTGGTTGATACTGTTGAACTCCGTATTGCCATGGGTATGTTGTATATTGATATGGTTGATATTGCGGATTCTGATATGGTGAATATTGATTTTGTGGAGGGTAATATAACCCATTTGCATACTGATCCACTGGACCGTCTGGAATTTTTATTCCATTTTCTGGATTTGAATTTACATCCACGTTTGGCAAGATGCTATCAACCACTTGCGGAACATTCTGTACAGAGAGATAAAACGATTTCGGTTTAACGAATACAATTTGACAAGGGAATATTCATTTTGTTAAATCCATTTCATTTTTAATCGCTTTTTTGTTTACTAATTTATTCCCTTGAATATTCATTCTATCCTTTATTTAGGACTAAATCAAATACACTTACTAGGCTTGGTTGGTCTTCTTCGATAAGCGGTGGATATAATGTGGTTACTTCTTGTTGTGCTTCTTGTTGCTCAACATTATCGATCGGTTCAACAACGTACGTTTGAATGCCATCATCGGTTTTCTTCTCAATTTTCGTTATTTCCTCTGCTTCGATACAACTGAACACAAGTAAAAAACACACGCACCTGACCAAATGCTTTACTAGTGACATTTTTCGGTTTGATATAAATAACTTGTAAACAATTTTTTTTCTCGGTTCTACCCAAATACAAAGTCCTTATATTGAAGGGAAAAAATCGATTTGAGTCGATAGACTGCTCACTTGTACGGTTGGCAACGAAATGATTTGAATTGTGCATTACAATGTCACCGAAGGTCTATTTGCTCGTTTTTTTTCCTGTGAAACGTTGTTAAAATCGAGAAAAAAAATACGAAAGAAAGTGAGCATCAACAAACACAGGTAGAAAGTATTTGCATAGGCCAAACAAGAACTCAGCAGCTATTGTTTCATGTCGTTTTTTTTCCTCTCTGTTTCTAGTGCAAAAAGTAATTACTCTCGCTTTGCACATTTCTCTTCTTTTTATGTTCGTTTCAAATGCGCTTATCACAGGTAGGCAAATCATCTTCGTTATCTCTGCACGGGAACTGTAAGCAGATTGTTAGTTTAGGCATTTCCTCGAAAAGAGCATATGATTTGTTGATAGGCAATTTCCAAATATTTGTGTCCAACGGAGGAAAAAAAGGAACATACATATTTTGAATGTCATAAAATCCATATGTGCCGAACCAGGAACAGCAGCAAGAATATGATTTAATCTGCATCCGTTGCAATAAAAGTGTTTCCTTAGTTCGGTGGGAACCAAAATCATTCACAATTTTTGAAGAAAAAAAAATTCTTCGACTTTTTTTTTAGCAGGATCCGTGTGTAAACCAAGAACAATAATACAAACGCACTCACACATATTTACATACACTCCACAAGGGCGATTCATTGAAAAAAAAAATCATTCTACTTTATTCCATTTCAGTCACGTGATTAATAAATGTTAACGATATATATTATTGCGATAAGAATCGTAATTTCGAGTGCCGGACACAAATGTTTATGCGTTTTCATACTCTTTTGCTTTGATCGCAGGCGGGAAGCAGTTCTCAATTCTTTCTTTTCCCTTCGGAAAATCAACTGAAACCAAAATGCCTTTTACAAAAATCCTCAATTCGTTTTGTACACAATATCGCGAAGTCATCCACCGTTCGATTGAATTAAAGGACGACAAAACATTCTTGCTTGCTTGTTGTTGCTCTAAATCATTAACCATTCAAGTCAAACCAATTTCGAAACCCTACGTGTTACAGAGCAAACGAAATAAAACGCAAATACAATCAAATAGATTAAATCGAATGTATGTTGAACGTCGCATGTACTTGCGTGTACCATTCGCAATTTATAATACATGGAATCTTCATTATTCTCATTCCAAATCATCGCGAATCAATTACAGTCCAAACCAGCTAACATTTACTTAAACAATTTATTGTTGTTTGGGCGAAGCAGAGGTTTTGGTAAAAAAAACATAAAACGTGAAGCCAATTGTCTAAAAATAGTTGGACTGGTGATTTAAATTAAAATCGAGTCGCAAATATGCGATTCAATTGATCGAATATCTAAGATAATGTAGGTCGTTCTAATTTCCATTTCTAAAGGTGAGTGTCAAGTCATTAGTGACGTCACTTTGCCATTCGATGTGGTGCGTCAACTTCTAGTCCCTACGAAAAAAATTAAACCACACACACATACACATACACAGAACAATGACAATGATGGAACGGAAGTACAAGTGTAACGGGAACTATACTATTTGGGCGATATGATCATCATTTTTCGTGAATTGTTTGCTACGAAAGTGTTGTTAATGGCAACGCAACTACCACTCTGGTCTACGAGACCGTTACAATCGTTTGAGGCCGTCTTCTTTTGTAATAAATAAAATGTGCTGTGCTGGCCGCTATTCCATTATTCCATTACATTCGTTATAACGCCGTCACTCGGACATTTGAATCATAAGCTTGACTTTGGCTATTTATTATTCGATTTTAGTTTTCATTTCGTTTCCCAAGTGAACACATTACAATTCGAATTGGTTCCGCGTGGATACTTCATCAAACAAAACCAAAATAAAGGCAAAGAAAGGAAAGAAAACCAAAGAGCAAACAAAAGTGGATATATTTTTGGATAGAAAAATAGTGCGAGAAAACCACATAGAAGCACGCACTTTATTCACAACAAGCTGGGCAATTGTATGGATTCAACGGTTGTTGTTCAACCGAACAAACAAATGAACAAAATGGCGTGAGTTTTAAATTTTAATTTCGAAAATGATTGTGAAAAGTGTTTGATGTGATTTTCATCTTATGCGTTCGTTGTTTTTCTACATTTCAAAAAAAGAGTTGTTCAATTATGTCGAATTAGCAAAGGGAAGAACTTATTAATGACATTTTTTCGTGTGGCACACACACACACCAGTTTTCGATAACATTCGTTGATACTGTGTTAATTAATTTGTATTTATGTCACATTGAAAGGATCCAACATTCACATAACATTTTTGTTTCTTTTCGATTCGTTTAATTGTTCAATTGAAATGTGTGAGAAAGAAGGAAGAGAACAAAAAACGCCACTGTGTTACGGAAGTCATATCACTTAATTTTCATTCAATTGAATTCATTGCACGAGTAAATTGTTACCTTTTTGGCCTGATTAAATTGACGTCTTTAAAGGATAATTGTATATGCGGAATAGTGGTTAGTGGATACATATGGTAGTGATAGTGGTCCGTTTCTCTCTCTCTCTCTCTCGCTGTCTCTTCATGTTCGTGTTCAATTCCATTCGGTTCGTTTCATATGAACGTTTCGCGGTGGTCGATATGTTTGCTATTTAATTGAACGAGAACTTCAACCATTTGATGACCTGGTGTCTGCCAAATCACAAATAAAACAAAAATGCCACACTGAAAATCGATATAATTCATCGTGGTTGCATGCTCAGTTGTCCAGTGTCCACATAGAAATTGTAATTGTATCTCGATGTATAATTCATATTCTCGATGGACGATATACTATTCAATTGAAATCCTTCAAGTAATAAAGAGAGCATAGCAAAAGACCTCAACGTCAACGATAAACAACGACATTCAATCGTGCTTTCGGTTTTTAGCTTCAATTCACTTCAATTGTCTGCCTGTTCAACAGTTTCAATTTGGATTTCCATCAAAACGAACTTATATTCTACCCAGTTTATTCTCAGACATATTAATCGTAGTGTTTAGTTGATTGTAGTTTCGTTCACATCTTATGGTCGATCATCAAAAAGCCACTCGAACTCGAAGAATTGTTGAAGAATTTGTTTTGTGTTTATTTAGAGGCGAAAAAACAATGCCCATTCTACATTATTTGCCACCGAGTCCACCGTGTCGCACCGTTTTACTGCTGGGCAAACTGCTGAACATCGATTTTGATTTACGATTAATCGATATAGTCAAAGGCGAACATTTGAAACCAGAATACATTGAGGTATGCGATGAGCTCGTTAATATTTTATTTTTATCGTTTTACGATTAACGTTTGCTCTTGAACGCGATTAACGCTTGCCCTGATTTTTCTTTTGTGTTCTTTTTTCAGATTAATCCACAGCATACAGTTCCAACGCTTGAAGACCATGGTTTAGTACTTTGGGAAAGGTTTGGTGAAATTGGATTAAAAGTGAAACCAATGTTGCTAATGATTCATTTTTATGTTTTCAGCCGTGTAATTATCACTTATTTGACGGCCGCATATTCAAAAGATGACACTTTGTATCCACGTGATGTTCGTATGCGAGCTCTAGTTGATCAACGTCTTTCATTTGACTTGAGCACACTATATGCACGTTTGGCTGACTATTATGTGAGCAGATTTTGATTTTCTAATAATTTCAAAATATCTTTTTTTCCTTGGATCGCCTCTTTTTTCCATAAGAATTTTTCCGTTTTTGTTTCGTTCCATTTTTTATTTCAATTCCAAGAAAAACCCAGTAATAACTTTTTTATTAATTCTAAAATTAAGTTCCCAGTTCTGTTCCGTGGCCAAGAATTGGATGAAACAAAACTGCAGAGATTACACGAAGCATTGGGATTCTTTGAGGCGATGCTAAAGGGTCGAACTTGGGCCGCTGTAAATAATTTCACTTTGGCTGATTTGTCTCTGACAGTGACCGTTGCTCAAATTGAATCGCTCGAATGCGACTTGGAGCCGTACACAAGAATTCGCACTTGGCTACAGCGTTGCAAAGATCATTTGCGCCCATATGGATATGACGTAGGTTTCAATGTTGTGATTCAACCTTTAAAACATGCAATTCATTTGTTTTCATTTCATTACAGGAAATTCAGAAAGGCTCTGAAGATTTAGCAGCATTTTTTCGCAGCAAAATCAACTCGTAGAAGCAAAGTTGTGGAATGAAATTCACTTCAAATCTAAGTTCAACCATTCAATTATCTCCTTAACATAACGCATAAAGCTCTCCATATAGACCATAGTATAAATGCTAGTGATACAATCTGTAGAATACCATTGAAAATCATAGAAAACTAGTTTTCATGATAATCAATAAAATTGAATGATTTCCGTTTAACAAGCACCAAATTTAAAACAATTTGTATTGTGAACTGTTTGAGTTTTCTGTTATTTTTTACGCACTGCACACAGAATATTAATACATATTAATTTATTTGTCGTAAGCCAATGTCAAATAAACGGCTTTTTAGAAGAGAAACATCTGCGTTTAATTTTAAATTCCCATAAATGATATTGACTTAGTATTGTGTAATTGTCATAAAATGAATATTTTTCCAAGCTGGATATTTGATTGACCTAGAACTTCAACCGTATAATAACCCGAAAAACTAAATAATAATTTATCATAGACGTGCGTTTTCTGGATAGAAACAACGACGTTCTTGTGGGTTTCGTTTCAATTCAATTCGTTCCAACAGTCTCAATTTAGATCTCCTTCAAAACGAACTTATATTCACGCTGGTCATTCTCAAATATATCAATCAACCAACCATCGATTTTAATTTAACTTGAGCACACTTTATGCACTGATGGCTGATTATGCTTGTAAGGGGGCTTTTGTTTTTCATCCAAAATGATTTTATTGGATTCTCTGATTACTTTCTTGAATTTTCGCATTTTGGATAATTTTACTTTGGATGATCTGTCGCTAACAGTGACCGTTACACAAATTGAATTATTTGAACTCGATATGGAATCATATGGAAAAAATTCCCTTCATTACAGCGTTTCAAAGGCCATTTACGTCCGGATGCGTATGACGTTAGATCAAATTCAGTATACTTACAACAATTTATACTGGTATAAAAGCGATTATCATAAAAACCATAATTGATTGGCCTAGATTTCATTTCAGGAAATTCAACAACCTGGTGAAGATTAAACGGCATTTTCCTCGCATAGATCAACTCGTAGAAACAGAAAGCTTGAAGCTGTGAAGAAATAAATCACTTCAAATCTATATCGAGCTATACAAAGTCTCAAGTACCTCCTTAATATAGCGCATTAACAATGAAGCTCAATAAACCAATAAATGTTATTGAAAACTCTGTCGAAAGCCATTCAAATTCAGTTTCTATAAAAACCAATAGAATTGACCAATTTCAGTATGATAGGAAACCGTTCGATTTTTCAGTTATTCAAATTAATGGCTTTTTCAAAATCAACATCAGTATTAGGTTCCCCTCACTTGCCTTGTGTTTTCATCTTTTTATTATTATTATTATGAATATTTACCATACGATTCCCCTTTTCTCACTTTCAAAATTGTTGTTGACTTTAATTACGAGTCCTTTTAGTAAGGACAATCTGGTGTACAAACTTTTGGCTCTCTATATATAGATGGTAGCACTTGCTAATGGGTTTGCACTTTCAAATCAACGCCATAACATTTCAGTAGCAAAACGGAAATAACGAAATTTTAGGATTTGTTTGGGCTCAAATCAAATCAACAAATATGTACACAATCTGGAGTGTTGCTTCCCCTTTGAGTTGGAAATAAGTCAATGGAAACGGATAACATGGATTCCGAATTAAGTCAATTGTTTGTATAAAAACATTGTTGAATATATAAATCAAAGATCAACTGGTTCTGAGTAAATATTTGCATTTTCATGAGCGCAAATGCCTCGCTTTGAAATTAACCCATGTAAATTCAGCATCGTCCGAATAATTGGAATGTTCAAGCCCGTCAATGAACTGGTTTAATGATGAAGCCAAGCAAATATTTATCTTGAGCGTGTTAGGAATGTCATTGTAGTGTCATTACAATGGAAAGCCACAATCAATGCGGTTGAACGTATTTGATTCAACAAAAACATATTTTATGAATGCTTTTAGTACCTCTGGAGTTTCAGTTGAATAAAAAGCGTAAATAAATTTCTATCCGCAGGCTAGACGACCATTTTCCATTGAAATCAGTTCCATAATTGTGTTATAAACTGGAAATGGAGCTGAGAAAAGCCATATTGCCGCTTTACATCGTTTCAAAAGTGTTGTGTACGAGTCCATTCTGTTTGAAAACTTTACGGCCCTCATTGTTCGGCAGTGTGGTAACCATATGCCAAGCGATTGGCTACACCATTTTCCATCTATGGATGGTGAATCGTGATATGAGTGCGGAGTCGGTAAAGAATCTCGTGCGTCAATTGATCGATTCATATAATCGTTACTCTGGGTTTTGTGCATTTTGCTTTTTGGTCATATCGTCAACGTGGAATCAGGCAAAAATTGTGTCAGTCATTCGGAACATCGAGGACATTGATCGGATATTCGAACAAAAACTCGATACGCCAATCGATAATCAGACATGGCGACGGTATGAATTGGATGCCAATTACATTCAATTTGATTTGATTTCAGCCATAAATTTTATTTTCAGCAGCAATGTCGCGCTGCAAATATGTTTTTGCATTGTAACAATTTCGTTGTTTGAATGGCGAAATTGTTTAATGTACATTCAAGACTCGGTCCCATTTTCTGAATACTGCTTAGTGATGTGTCTGGGTGAGTTTTCTTCTCTCTCTATTGTCTTTCCAAAAAAAAAAAACCAGAAAGAAAAACTTTCTATCAAAATCACTCTTCCATTTCAGTGCCGATGTATGTCATCGGAATAATCGAAACGCAATTCTTTGCCTACCTACAGTTGATCCGTTGCCGCCTTTGTCTACTGAATAAACTTCTCATTCAATTCGGCACGATTGTAAATTCAAATCAATACTATAACCATTTGCCTACAACCGTTGATGAAATTACACAAATTAAGTCAAACTCATTTGAATATTTTGTGAGCAAAAACAATCCCTTCGCTTTGAATGGAATGTTCAAAGCCCCAAATTTGAATTGCATGAGGTAAGAGGATTGAATATAATTTTTTTTTGTATAGATTCAATGTTGGACTGCATTAAATCAAAAATTTACTGCGTCGCTCAATTTTTCCATCAACACTTTAGAAACCACGCGGCTGCAAGGAAGACTCCATTCGTTACGACGAAGGATGAAAATTCGACGCAATTCAATGATTTCGGCGATAAAATTATCCACATTCAACAGATTTACTCTAAACTGGAACGCACTGTTATCGTACTCAAATCGGCGTTTAGCCCGCATTTGGTTGTTATTTTGGTAATGAAATTCACCACATTGACGTCGTTGCTGTACTTCTGTTGTATGGTAGTCATCAAGTAAGCATTTGCGAACATTCGAATGCAGATTGTAAACCATTCAAATTTACGCATGATGTTACAGAATTATATCGGGCATTCGATTGAGCAGGGAAAATGAGGATCAACTGTGGAGCTCATCGGCTTGGATTTGCGCACTTTTCCTGGAAATTTTCATTTTATGCTATTCGAGTTCGATCACAAAGGATGAATCTCGCAAGATCGGTTGCAATTTGCATAGCTTTTCGTTGAATTTGAATGATGTTTACAGTAAAATTAGGGTAAAAAGGGATCATTGTTCTGGACCAAACGGTTTAACATTCAATAAATAATTTAGGTGAAGGCATTTTCGGTGCAATTGCTTTTCAACGGAATCGAAATCAATCCATTCGGGATGTTTAAATTGGATCTGAGCTTTTTGTATGGGGTAGGTATTTATAGTAAAGTAACATTTCCATAGGTTAATCAAAATTAATTGAGAACCATTTCATTTCATTAAAAACTGTAATTTCAATTTGTATTTTCAGTTGATTGGGGCAGTGTGCACATACCTCATAATATTGATACAATTTGATTTGGCACAGAAATCACAACAGAAATCCACTACTGGAACCACAATACCGCCAATCCCATAATGCTCATCATTTATTTTCAGTAGAGTTCTTGCGTCAGTCACAATGAAAACCACACATTTCCCATTCGATTTTCAATCAAATTTTCCAACTACAAATGCATTGTTCTACGAAATGATCGAAATGCTGAAATCACAACCCACATTCAATCCTTTTTAATTTAACGTAGTAAATAAACATTTTACAGTGTACACTTTTTTGCAGACTAACAAATGTTGTGCAAATAATTAGCCCCATTGTATCGCTGCACAACAATCAGCTGTGCCATAGAAATGTAGTATATGTAGTTCAACAAAGTAAAGAGTGGATCGCTTGTTGAAATACTTTTGTTGCATCACATATTCCTATGAATTATTTTAAATTCTGTAGCAAAATAATTTAAACATTATTTAATATTTATTGCATGTATTATGTTTGGAGCCATTGTCGGATCACACAGCTGCTACCTGATGAGTCATTAAAATCACTAAGGAGGATAAACGGAAAACCTAGCGGGAAACGGATTCCATTCTAGTATCATAACAACATCTCTCATATGGGCTGAATTTTCAATTTACGTTGTCGTGCTGAGTTAACGAGACACCGCTCCGATTTAATTGCATTTTATTTGATCAATGTTATATAATGAGAATATTTTCGTTTAATTTGAATTCGCTGCATGTGACATACAATGCAGAGAGACAGATAAATAGTTGATATAAACAACGTCAAATATGAAAAACGAAGAACGAAAGCAAGAACATTGTACCGACAAACGAAACATTTTAAACAAAATTGAAAATAATTACATCAACAAACTAAGCTCAGTTAATAAGCTTCGTATGACAAAAATGGAAATTAAATTTCCGTTTCTTCTGTTTCAATGATTTGATGTCATTCATCAGAAGCATGCTAAGTGTGAGTGTGGCCGAGAAATTCCTGCAGTTTAATCTGATAATATTCTACAGTGGACAATTTGTCTAGGATAAACAAACGACGAAAAGTTGGAAATTCATAATTTTCATACTACTTTCGTAAGTTTACTCGACAAATGCACCCCTCTCTATCTCTCACTACAAAGATGAATAATAGTACATGAATTCTCGAATGAGTGCGATTCGCTGTTGCCGTGCAAATTGTTTGCTTTCTGAATTCAATTATGCGGATCACTTTAAATCTTTCCGCACATTTTAATTCCACAAAGAAAGAAAAAAAACTTTTTTTAAATCTTCATTTCCGTTGCCTTTCCCATAATATACAAATATCTTTATTCGCTTTCGCGAGTTGTTCCACGGTCTTAATTCGCTTTGTGCTGCGCTTAATACGTGGATCAGTGAACACACAAAGTACCTATCGTGTTGCGAAGATGAAACGTTTATTCTCGAGAAAATGACAGAAATATTGAAGCGAACAGCAAATCTACAGGCAGAACTTCCATGGAGAATTGTACAACTTAACAGCAAGCGCGCAGCTATGATCAACACGTCGGTGTGCTGAAACTTTTGCTTTGTATTGTATATTTACCAGCGCTTTTTGAAATCTGCCAAAAAGAGAGTCGCACGATTAACTTCGTTTGAAATATAAGCCAGCAATGAAAACAAGCTTGAAACAGCCGAAACGCTTTACTTCTGCTATGAAAAAGACGGAAAACATTTAAATGTATTTCAATCAGACCACTTGACATATTTGTGATGTGATGTTATTTGATTGTATTTACATTACATAATACATTCAAGTGCGACAATGTTTCCATAGGCAGCTCAGAGGAAAATGAATATGTTGTGAAATTCTGCGAATTGAACTGTTTTGTCTCAACTACGAAAAAGAAAATTCGTAGAATTTCAGCGATACTTTTATTGAGTGTGATGGTAAACATCTGACACTGCATCGTTTCATATTTTCAGTCAATGCTTGAATTTGGTTGTAGCATTCCAACAGCGATATCCGATGAAGAAAATGCAAAAATATGATGTTGTTAATAGCTTAAACAAGAAAATATGCAGCGCATTTCAGTCTTAAATTGAATTGTGTATGAACTAACACGCATTCCACAGTGCAGCACAAAATTAAGTTGAAAATTTCCATCTCTATAGAAACGTTTAAGCAGTAAATTATGGAATGTCAAAAACGTCATTGGATTTGAACCCAAAAAATGCACAACAGAGCTTGCAATATGCAGATGACTGTTTCAGTGTCATGGAAAAAAATACGCGTGATTTTGGTATTTGATATATTTATTCGATGCTTTTCTCCCAGACATTCGAACCGAATATCGCCCCCAAGAGTTCAATGCGCTTATAAATTAACTGCGTATAATTTAGCTTATTGCATGAATACACATTCCGCGTGTGTTTTTTTCTCTCACTCTTCTACTTAATATTAAAGATTTTCATTAAAAATGTCTGTATGCATAGTTTCAGTAGCACGGTTCATGGTGTTCATTTTGGTTCGGGTATTCAAAATTCGCTTATATAAAGAGTACCGCGTTTGCATCAATAAAGCGTAGACATCATTTTTTTCGTTCGTTCAGCAGTACTAATTATCATCCACTTTCTGGCTCTATGTAATTTGTGCATTGACCAATGTTGTGAGTGGTCGAATTTTTGTTGTTGTTGCGCGCCTAATCAGAATATTTTCGGCTGGCTTAATGTTTAAGTGTACACAAGGCAATCATTTTTATGTTCACTCCGAACGATTTATTCGTCATTATAAGTGTCAACGTTCGGCACGTGTTGTTTGGAAACACTTGTCTGCTTCGGAATGCTATGAATCATTCCTATTCAAATGGGGTTCCGGTCGATATTTTTTACTCGTTGTAATTTCTTTGTAGCCGTAAACTTGTGTGAAAACCGTCAACCCATTTGCTTCCTTTGCGGTGAAACGAAGCATGCCGTGTTGAACAGGCGAGATATTGCACACAGCATTAGCGAGAGCAGTACAGCACACTGTTATCTCACACTCGTTAATCAATGTTGAAAATTCTACATTTACTCAGAAGAGTGTTTAAAATCATCCAGAATTCAGCTTAAGCACATTCGATTACCATGGGGTACATTAAATATTAACACATTCCCTTCATCATAAACTTTTAATAAAGCACACAGCATAATTTTATAAGATACACCCAAAAATACATTAATAAATGTAAAGAAAAAAAATTATTAATGACAGCAGCTGTTTCCATGCATTTAAAGTTGATTATGGTGTGGGCCCATAGAATAAAATCTTTGAATTGATCCCTTTCCCAATTTGAGAAATAATTTGAATTACAGCAAAGTTGTGTTCACATCCGCCTTTGACGATACGAAACTCGGTTCGGGCGTCTTTGTTGTTATAGTCAATGTATTCGATGCGACGAATGTATGTATTTTTATAGGCGTTCTGAAACAAAAACGTAATTATAAAAATCGATTTGTGTAACGTGTTATTTGGCCACGTTTTGATGCGACGCGACTCATCCATAAGTAATTTTTATTGCGTACAACGTAATTTGAAAATTACTATTTTTGGCTAATCAATGTGGTATATACTTACGCCACCAGGATAATCCAATGTGAATCGGATTGGTTGGATTGGTTTGGCTGGTGAAACAACTGTAAACTCATCGATTAACCGTGTGTAATTTTGTGCACCGAAATTGATGCGATATGGTTCAGGTCGATAGTCGGCTGTCGCAAAAGCGGCCACAGCCAATGCAAAAATGATTAAAATTGATGGGTTCATTGTTTCGAATTTTAAAACCGTTTGATGTGTTATTTGAAACGTTAATGAATTGGAAATGCCACAATTAGCTAAATTCATCAATATAAATGTAAACACCAAGGGCAAGTTTATCAAGTATGTTTGTCTTTTTGGGTGGCATGATAACACGGCACAATGGAACAATGAATGATTATCACTACCGGATTAGAAAATTATTGTGTTTCCTTCATCCACCTGATATTTATCAGAGAAAATTAATCTTCAATCATTCGAACAACACTTGTCCAATTGATACAATTCGTTGATATTTTGCGCCCCAGTTTGCGTCACATAAATTCCGTTAGAATCGATTAAATTCTAGACATTTAAGAAATGTTTCAATGGAAGCGTCATGAAAATGTGAAACAATTTCAATGTGGTTCGCACGTGCCGTATCAATTTTCTGGAGGCATCTCTTGTAATCACAACAAAGTTCTTGTATCCACGCATTAAATTCAAGTTAAGAGAGTTAATTAGAAATAATTTCCGGGAAAATAAGAGTCTCATTATTATGGGACTGAGCGCCCAGTAAAGTAATTAGTAACCAGATGAGCAACGTAATCTAATGTCATTCATCCGTTGTGAATTTCAATTTCATGCACATTTTGTAGTCAATCAATCACCAATAAAGATTACAAATTATCTTCGTTTCTTCTTAGAACAACTATGGGAAAGAGCCGCCAGTCAAATATATTCGAAAACAATCAGTTCAATGTTCTCTTCGTAGTAAAACAGTCAATCAATAGTAGTGTGAAAATTTCGAAGAAATCCGAACACACAATTTATCTTCGGAATATGGATAGAGATTTTATTGACAAGAGCGCCACAGCGCTGCATACACTGTCATGTTAAATGAGTCAGTTGAGCAAATTAAATGCGGTGTTTATCTCTATGTGAAAACCAAATTAATATTGTTATCGTTATTGACTATCGAACACGTCGCATAATTCGGCTATCAAAATAAATTGCGTCTCAACGCATTGTAATGAGTTATCGAAATGATCTCAGTACCAAAAGTGAACCGCTATTCAGACGTATCACGCAGTGGCGAGACGACATTCTGTTCTAGATTATTTATACACAAGTTAAAGCTTTTAAGTATCTATCATCGATTCGTTTAACTTTGAAGCCGGTTCAATCAAATAATTATCTTAATTAGATATTTACGGATAACTCAAGTTTGACTTGAAGCACATTGAAGCCTCATATAAGCTGCTATGTATTTAAGGAGATGTGACATCATTTTCACCAACCACAAGCTTTAATGTACATTCTTTAGCGGGCAATTTATATTATCAATATTTATATCCAATCCAACCACAAATTCGATAGAATATTTATGCTCCGAACTACGTAAATTGCATGTCCTTTCTTTTTATCGCTCTCATTGGTTTGATAACTTACTTAATCGATACCATCCACAACGTTGATTACTATTGAGTTGCACCGATTTTTGAACATATTTGACTGGCCGTTACATAAACACGGAGAGTTGCGTCAACACAATCTAATAAAAACGAAGGATTTAATTCATAAATTGCTGTAATTTTGCAGGTTCACAAGGTTTTTTTTCCGATTTTCTTCCTCAATCTAATTATCGGTCACCATGTGCAATTCAAAAATAGGAGACAATGTCATACGATTTCATAATGACTTTTGACATTTCCGTTTCGATATCAAAGGAACTATTCCAAAGCAAAGCAAGCTTCTCCATAAACATTCCTATAGATCTAAAGTGGATGAAATGTGTATTACCATTAAATTAGTTTTCTGTTATTCACTTGAGAGCTTTATTATGCATCCATCGAAGATTTCTTTCAAACACAAGCAGTAATTTCACTTGTTTGTGTCGTCTATGTGCGATTTTTTCTACTTCATCGAAGCAGAGGGCCAAGGTGCAATTTCCTTTGCTTGGATTTGTTTTTAATTGGAATGTATTCTAGTTTGCTTGAATGTGGTTTCAGCAATAACATCCTACTAACACATTTAACTAACTAGTGCAAACAAGGGGATTTTTTATTGGTCAATGTGTTCTTTATATCTTTGTCCTTTGATCTATTCATCTACGTAGTGCGGTTGATGAACTATGAAAAAAAATGTGCGCGAAAACGAAAAGAATAAGACACATATCAATCTCAGATCTATGTATTAGTAGGCTGTGTGTAGCGAGAAATGTATTACACATAACGTGAATGTAGTTGTAATACATTAGCGTAAACGTAGCAAACTCTGTGTTACCAGTGTGTAACATTAGACAACACCGCTCAAATGTTACTATGTGTGAGTAGCGAGCTCCACAATAATTTTGCGACAACGTTTACGCAAACGTATCGCCAAACTTCCGCAATAGTTGTCACAAACTTCAACTTCATTCGAATTCCGCTTGTTGTATTTTTAAAGGCTGCAATAGCTGATTATTCTCCTTCATAATTATTTTAAATAAATTTTTATTTCTTATTGGCAACGATGAGCAACATGAAAAGTTTAAATAAAACCATTTGAAATTATGTTTTCAATGTAATGAAGTTGGATACAATTCGAATTTACAGGTTTACGCCTTAGGGAAAGTGCCACAATACATTTCAAATGTAAGTCATTTGACACAAAGCAGTCAATGCCATCTCAATTCCAACTCATTGAATCATTGTACTTTTCGGCAACTTTTTTCAAACGTGTATGGCTTTACTAGAATATAATCAACTTTACGGCGACGCTAACAGCTTCTCTGTGGGCCGGTACTACGCGTTAGCCAAAACGTATTGATGTTTCGCAATGGTTACTCGATACATTTGCCAAAATACTATGATTTTTGTACTCTCTTCTACGATGTGTGTGCAGAGGAGCTGCTAGTGTCGCCGTAAAGTTGATTATATTCAACTCAAGCCACACACGATTGAAAAAAGTTGCTCGAAATATTTGATGATTCAATAAGTTGGTTTAGAGATGTCATTGGCTGTCTTTTGGTATTCCGGCAATATATTTATGGTTAACGCAATGCGATATGTCGTCGTAATGATTTTGCGTAAGCCTGTACATTGAAAATCCTATCGCAATGCGGAATGTCGCGGGAATGTTTTGCTTTCAACGCAAACCTCAATCGCAAAATTCTTGTAGGGGAGGGACTGAAGCATAGTATCGTGTGCGTTCCTCTTAATGACAAAATTAATTATTTATGCATGCGGAATCGAGGATTATGAATATATTTTTCGTTAGGCTTTCGATTTACTTTATAACGGTGTCATTTATGTCATCCAAAGATATCTTATAGCAGCTGTATCAAATGACTTCCGTTTGATACAAACGTACTAGTTCTTGAAGCTTAATCATGGACATTTTCTCTAACGATTCCGAAGCTCGAAATTACATATTGAGGAACAAATTCAATATTGAGGTGAAGTGTATATAATTTCCAAATTTATTAAAGTTTTATATATTGAAAACCGTATAAATCATGTCTTCTCACGGTGTTCACATTTTACGGTGACATACTCAAAGTATCAACTTGATATTGAATGAGTGCTTGACTTGTTATTGCTTTTTCGAATCCTTAAGAATTTATAATTTCGCGAAACGTTAATATAATTCGTGATGTTCAGGAATCTGGAAAAGCTTAAGTAACAAAATGTTCTATTAGGTTGTATAGTGTCACAGAATCATGATTTATTGTTGCGTAACAATGGAAAGAAATTAATGAAAACAATGTATTCGAGTAGAATCCATGTGCTGCCATTCCTTAATGTCAAGGAAATGAATCATTTCACTTTCTAGGGTCGCCATAATACGTCACAAAATCGAAGTGAGGTGCTTTTTACGTTGAATGAACTGTTCCATTCAATACCATTATTCTATAGATATGGCGCTAATACAATGGTAGCTAAGCGATGAATTGGAATTACAAATAGCTTTATGTATTGTGTGTTTGAATGATGAATCTAGTCGTCGGGAAGTCTATTATAATTCATAAAACCCCGAACATTTTTGCCGGTTGTTTTTTGTTACGTTTATTTGACACGCGAATCTCATTTGCGCTGTATGGTTGCGCTGACACACAACCCAATGGAATTTCAATTTAAATGAATATTAGAATTTGATTAAAAATCGTCGGCGAACTGATTGCATATCATTTGAATAATCCATACAATGCGTTCACTTTCTTCAGCGATAGACAATGGATAAACGAAATTAATCCTAATTTGCACATGTAAAACATAAAAATAAAATGCACAATGGTGAAGTTCAATGCCATCAATGGAAGAGACAAAAAACGAGACTGACAGTTTTATTGCAGAGATCAATGTCTCCATCGCAGAATTCATTCATCTCGTAAACCATTCAGAAGTACTAGCAGAAGTGTGAATTTTAAAATATTGAAATGCCACAACTATTCCGATTTTAATGGAATTTCAAGGAACTTAAAAAACCATTGAAAGCCATTTGGTTGTATGAGAATGATTGATTCAAGCATTGCTTGAATATCAAGTTTGAAATTGGCTTTCAAAATGTTTACCGCAAGCTTCGAATGGGTTTAGTGTTGATATGTGTTAGTATAAAACTTTTATACGTAGTTTTACATAAAACAGTTTCGATGGAAAAGAGGGCGAGAATTTCGACATCGATTCCCATCTGATCGTGAGCCTGTTTCTGTTGAAAGGTGGTGAAAAAAAAACTTGCTGTAAAATTCAAAAACTTTATTGATAAAAATGTGCCTTTTGGGAAATCAAACGTGAAAACACGTTTTGATGTGCGCCGGTAGAACCCGTAGCCGATATGAATATTTTTTACCTGCAGCTCAATGGAATTAGCTCATCAATTTTAGTAAAGTGAAAATCAATCAGATGAATTAATGAAAGCTTGAATTAATGTTGATAGATAACACTGTGCAACATTTTTGAAAAAGTTTCATAGAACTAGCTGGAATGGGATGATAGTCACTACTACTGTAGTGATTATTTATCTTCGGACTTTCGATTTAAATTTAAAATATTGAATAAGTTAAGTGAAGGATGAAAAAAAAAACAGTAAATTGAAATGTAAAACGAAACCTCAAAAAACAATTACATGATTTGAAAAGAGCGTTCAATGATATTTAACAGTTTAGAAACAGATACAACCAGAACACAAACAGTAATATCTGAAATGAATAGTTGAACCAATATCCGTATCAGATCAAAAAGAAATCATAAGCGTATTACGTTTCAATATGTTTTCAATGCGGTCTGTGTTCTTCATCAATGCATTTATGGCGCCGTAAACAAATAGAAAAAACGCCCCGCTCAAAAATATCTATCGAGAGTTTTTATAACTCGATAAAAATGATTTGGTTCTATGGAAAAGAGCACACACATCTGGAAATTGTATAAAAATAATCGTTACAAATAAAATTATGCGGAAAACGATTGGATTTTTTGTTTATTTTTAGGCAAAAATTTGCATATTTTCCAAATGTGTACAGAGCAACAGGTTTGCCAAAGGGAACGAATTCAATTGATGAGGCGGAAAAAAACACAATTAAATGAGAAATGCGGCTGATGATGTGTGTGTGTGTGTGTGTGTGTGTGCATGTGTGATATGATGAATAATGGTGTAACGTATGCATATAAATTGTGAAGACGAGCGAAAAAAAAGACGCATGAAAGCGCTTCAATTTGTGTGACAGAATGCTGAAAACAAAAAGGGAGAATTAGAATATATTATGGCTTCAATGGAATGTGTGTTTGCTATAGCAAAAATGAATGCACAAGCACAAGCACATTGATGGGATATCAATCGTTTTACTCTTTAACATTTCAATATCAAGCAGAGCGACAACAAAATTGGTCCGTGGAAAGACAGATGAAATTTCGTCGTGGCGTAGAACAAATACGTTTGAACTTTCACTTTCGCCAGCGCATGTGCGCTACTTCCATTCATGAAAATTGAAACGAGACCGGCTTCTATATGATCGCAATACATTCTGATAACTCAGTATGATGCTGGGCTTTGAGTGAAGCGCACGAATTTTTTTTCGGACAAAATTCAATTCATTTGCTGCTATATCGCGAGTTGAAGTGTGTTTCGGATGTAGAGTAGATACTTTCCAGGAGTTGTGTTTCATTACGTCCGTATTTATTGTCGGTTTTAGTTTCTAAGACATATATGTTATTGGTCATCAATTTGGTTTAGTTTTCGAATACTTTCGTGTATAAGTGGTTGTCAATACTGAATTATTCATGCGTCAGTGTAAACTTTTCGTTGATACAAGTGTTGGAAGAAATTATGCAGTGTTCAATCAATTAAAGAGAGCAACTTTATTTTATGTGCAGAATTATTACAACTTTATCGATTCGTTCAACGAATTAGGATTCCCACATATTCTTGGAACTTCCCACAAGTAATTTATCTATGGTCAAAACGGCAATTGCTGTGTTACATTATGTCTGTGATCATGCTGTTTTATATTTCGCCATTGTCTCAAGAAAATGAGAATAAATGGGCTAGTGCGACCGACACATAGATAAAAACACGTATGCCCGCTATTCCATTACGTGCACATAAATTTATGAAGACTCAACCGATGAGAAAAGAATTTGTCCCATGCTGTAAATAAATAAAAATTGCCACTACCAAAAGGTCGCCACAGAATTAATCAACGAAAAGTACATAAACGGCGGACTGACGTGGATATTTTGTAGGAGTACGTAAGTGTATGGTTCTGCATTCCACTTAGTAATCCATTCAAAGGAAATTTGTTGTTTGAAGAAAACACTATTCTTACTCTCTCGCTATTTCTCTCTTTGTTCTCTATCTATCTCTCTTTTTGCATTGTAAAAGATAAAATGAGATTTGTCCTTGTAAATCCACCAACGATATTTGTCAGCTGAAAGCTTTGGGTCGGACGCGATTGACATTAATTGGATTCATAGCATTAAAATGTGTTTTCCCATCAACGGACCATTTTTGAAGAGAAAAAAAAACCATCAATCTGATGCATGATGTCCCTTCCTTTTTATTTCATGATACACAAATTGTTTACTTTGCATACAATAGATATCTGTTGGGAAATAAGAAGCTTTACAAATTGATTTGGATTTAATAAACGTGGAGGAAATTGCGGTCCGGAATTTCATCGGAAATGTGTTCTTTATTGGATTATTGGAGTGGCATTTAAAAAACAAAGCACACACACTGAACATCATACATTGCATCAGACTATTCGATAATTTTTTTTGCTTTTCAATGAAAATTCCAGTTCGATATTGATACAGTGCTCAAAAAATTGTGTTTCACTGCATATATCAATGTGCTGTGTAAACTGTTTAATTTGTGTCCAATTTCGGACATTTTTGGATAAATTCCAGAACTGTTGCCTGAATCCTTTTCTTGAAAATTTCTTTCGAAAAAGGCATTCCAAACGCACGTTGGAAATTGTATTACAAGAAATTGTTCTATCACGTTTTTATTCTTCGGTTGATTCCACTTTGATTTTCACACAATGCTTGTCGGCATAATCAAAATACCGCGCCAACATTTTTGATGAAAGCAAAGCAATGGCTATGTTGACAATGAAAAATCATTCGTGCCGCCTGTATGTATGCAAATATTGTTGACAGAGAAAATGTATGCAAGATTTGCGGTTTAGTTAAAAATTCACCTGACGACGTCACCGCTATTATCATACGCCACATACTTCTCCGCAAGGCTGCATTGGAGAAAAGTTTGCATTCAAGCACGACTGAAAAGTTTCAAGTGAAAACGATATTTTATTCGGAAGCCATACCACACGAACCAAATCATATTTCCGCCAAGTAACAATCATGCATGATGATTTCAACCATCTCATGATGTAATTTTTTCCATCAAAATATGAGAAAGAAGGAAGTAAATGTGAGGGTTCCACAATTTTTACAGTGAATGGATAGTCAATATGATGCAGATGTTCCTCACAAACTCCACAAGGCACTCAGTTATTCAAGATAACAATTACGATTTTGGATGAAAATAAATGATAACAAACGGCAATTAAATTTAAAAAATAACAGACATTCAATATTTGCACTCAGAACTAGAAGTTTCATGCGGTTATGGTTACATAGATGGAATTGGCATTTTTGCGCGTTGCACGAATAACGTTTTGGGAAATGTATTTTTAAACGGAAATCTGACACGAGATGTATTTGGCAGAATATAGCGGCGTAGTATCGAAATGTTTACATTCATTTTTTGATTGCCCCCCCCCCCCTCTCTCGCTTTCTCGCTTTCTCGCTTTCTCGCTTTCTCTCTTTCTCTTTCTCCATTCGTTCAAATCATATCAGTCGAGTTCATCTGGGCCTAGCGTTAGGCCTCACGGGTTTTTTTTTGCCCCGTAAATGACACCAAAATATAAGAAAATGATTATTACAACGGTGTCAAAAAACCCATGAAGCAAAAAACGAAAAAAAGCACGTGTAAACACTTTCAGCCATATGAAAACCAAACCAATCTATTTGCAGTTGTAGGCATGTCTAAAAAGCGTAGTAATTTTCATGTTTCTTCTGTTTGTCCTCCCATTGTTTCAATTTTTTCCAGGGTATAAGACGCAAAAAATATCTCGCTGCCTTTCTTTGAAGCTTCGCTCAGTGGAAAAGTAATAATTCTATATAGATGTGTTCCATCATCATTATCAACATGCTGAGAATACAGTTCTGATGGGGAAAGATAAAATGAATGTAACGTAACGATTTAGCCTTAAACATAACGTGTTTGTTGAAATGATTGATTCAATATTTTGACATTGAAGTGCCCACTTGTGTTTACTCAGATTGCTGTTTTTCTAAGGCATCGACTTTCGACTGTTCTTTTTTCTGCCATGCTCTCCATACATAAAGTGCTGGAAAATCGCATCTCACGTTTCCAATCATTTTTAGCACTACATGGAATTTAGTATGCATGGAATATAGGCTATTGTTATTGTTTTTTTTCACGAGACAATTTTAAGACTCTTTAGGCCACTTTTTTTAGACCGAAAATTAATTCTTTTTCCTATCCAAAGTTCTAATTTGAAATGAAGCAATTACGCCTAATTACAAAAATGAAATAAAATCATGTGCTCGTAATTCTCTTTTGAGATAACTCAGAATTTTTTTTTATTAAAGATTACAATATAATATATAGAACAATATAGAATCATAATTTTATTCAATTGATTGATTTATTATTATTTATAATATCATTATTAATAATTTTTGTTTTAATGGTACTTGAATTTTCATTTTTCCCATCTTGACTGAATTACGTAAATTAACAATTTCCACCATGACATCGTCGATTTTAATATCTTCAGAAAAAATAGAGTCCGAATCGAACATACTTGATATTAATTCTAATAATTTTCATAAAATAAAGAAATGTATGCTTCGATTGAAACTACATTCCATGTAGTGTTTCGATGAATAATTTGATGGGAACATCAAATTAATTTAAACACTCAATTTTAAATTATATAAGACGATCTGCGGTCTTGTTTTTCTTCTGTGAATTGCAATGCACATAACATCAAACTTTGTGATTTTTTACGAATTTTATTATGTCGAACAGCTTATTCAATTTGTTCAAAACGCTGAAAGGGAGTTTTTGATTGATATACATTGTGTGTCTATAATCAGATCTAGATTGATCACCTCTGATGAGCAAGAATTCTCGACAGGAAATGAATGGGAAATGATGAAATTAAAAATTCGTTGAAAACAGTATTAGAGCATTTCGCATTACTTTTATTTCCACTGAATACATGAACAACTCCATGTTCGCTCATGTCAGATAAATAAAACATGGTAGAGAGAAGCTTTACATTATTTCGTGTATGAAAAAAAACAACCCCGCTTTTAAATCTCAGCGAATAATCTTGACTTCTCTATATTTGTAAATACATTTTTCTTTCGGTTTATGGTTATTTGATAAATCAAGCGCGAAATAGTTAAATGGAAATGCTTGGTGAGTTGATGCTGTAATTTTGTTTTTTTGGCCCGAATTCATCCAACAATTCCCAACCATAAACATCCAACCCTCAACGGCATCAGTTCTTTTATTATACTTTTAACATTTTGTTTCGCAATTTGGAGCAACCTAGCAAGTTTCTTATAGTAAATGTGTTGATTATAAAAGTTCAACAATGTGATCAAAAATGTATGTATCTGCCACTAGCACAAATGAATACCAATGGGAGAAAACTTGATTCGTGTTCCGGAAACAAATAAACAATATATAAAATGTTATATTCGTTTGTTCACTTTTTCCAATGAAAACATACATTTTGAGCATACATACCTAGATGTGTTTTTGTAAAGCATCGACTCTCGTCTGCTCCTTTTTCTATTATGCATCAAGTGCAGGAAAATAATACATTACGTTTGGAGTCACAGTTCTTTTTCTGCGAATTGCAATGCACATTAACATCAAATTATGTGATTTTCTGTTGATTTTATTATGTCGAACAGCTTATACAATACAATTTGTTCAAAACGTTGAGAGGGTTTTTTTTTTATTGATGTACATTGTACAGTGTGGTTGTTTATATACTTGAGAAAAATCAGAACTAGATTAAATACACATTTTGGAGAAAAAAAATTCATGGTAGGTCAAAATCAAATGAAAAACTCGTTGAAAATATTGTTGGAACATTTTTAATTGCTCTTATTTCCACGACAAAAATGATGGAATTTTTCTGTTCGCTCTTGATCGCATGTCGGATAAATAAAACACTGTAAAGCTTTATCCATTTCTATCTAAAAAAAAAAACAACTGGGAACAATCCTAACTCCTGCGTATATTTGCGAACACAGTTTATCTTTCCGTTCATGGCTGTTTGATTAAACAAATTGGACGTGTTAAATAAGTTTAAGCTCTAATTGGTATTTTGAACCACATTATATAACACTATTTCCAACCATAAACCCCATACAATTATCAACATAAGAACTTTTCTCAGTTTTTTGCAACAATCCAACAAGTTTCTGATAGTATGTATGTGTTAATTCACTAAATTTCACTTAGTGCCCATTGGCATATAAATACATGGTATGTAAACTAATGGAGAGAACTTCTTTCGTTTTCCAAAAACAAATTAAAAAAACATGTTTTTATGTCCCATTCTTCATTTTTTTCCGGTTCAAAAGTGTACATGTTGAACATAATCGTGATATCAATTGCACTGTCTACTTTCAGCGTGATGTGATGGCACAATTGTTTTGAAACGCCCCCCATTGAAAACGTTCAACTTTATCTCAGACTAATTTGTTGACATTAAACATAACGAAAACCAGTATACTTTGATGTAAATGCAACGCAAACATATTCTTCTGAAATACTTTCAGTTTAAAGCTTTCTAAACATATTTGCAAAAAAGTTAGTAAAATAGGTCGAACTCCAAGAGATTATGGCTACTTAGTATGTCAGCAACAATTTTGTTCTTTTTTTTATTTGCATCCAAATTTCAATTCCTCAATGAGAAATCTTCTTTGCTTTATGGAAGTATTTATTCGAATAACAAAGAAAAAATCTCCTGGTTTTAAATTCTTGAGAGGATCAAATCAGATTATGCGAAAAATCTTGAAACTCAAAACAAAGCTATAGCTAGGAAGAATTGTTAACGCAAATACATCCATTACCAAGCGTATGTAAACGGTTGAATTTGGGCTCGCATTTGGGTGTAGTTTCAGTCATT